GGGCAGACAAAATTAAATACTGGTGCCAGTGCCCAAGTTTTAGAAATTGCTACAAAAGGTTCTCAAATCAAACTCTTTTGGGAGAATTGTCTTTGCTCAGGGGAGGTGGAAAGTTCTTTGTTCTTCAGGTTTTTGAAGATGTTTGGTGTGCTGCATCATGCTAATGCTAACAGAACAGTCAGACAAGGACCATGAAAGGACACAACCTCTAGACCTAAAACTCGAGTCAAGGTGCCTTTGAAACCAAGTGTTTGTTTGAACACCCTGGAAGGGTGAGGGTGTGTTTACAGTGTATATATAGATAAGGAGGGAAATCCATGAACTGTAAGTGAAAGATTCTTTGCTCCCTAGATGAGGGGCACAGAGTACGTATAAGAAGTGTTCATGATGGTTACATGGGCGGTCTGTGATGAATTGCTTGTAGCCCACAAAATATAGGTAAAGGGTCCAAGATGTACTGATGGGGTTTTATGATGTGAATACGGAGGGTCCCCTAATTTATAGACGGGGGCTCATGGTGTATGTGACAGAGAATTCTGCAATTCATAGATAATAGTTTTCCTGAAGTTTCATGATCTATAGATGAAAGGTTTTGATATATAGGTAGGGATTCCATTTTGTGTAGACGGGGGTACACGATTTGTGCATAGAGTTTCTGTGATCCATATAGATGAAGTATCTATGATCTATGAATAAAGGCCTCAATATGTAGAAACAGAGGTTACATGACACATAGACAAGGGGTTCCACAGTGTATAGCTAGGACTTCTGTGATCTATAGTCAGAGGCCCCATGATGTATGGACAATGGTTTGAAGATAACACAGTTCCTAGAAGAAAAGGGTTTAGGTTGAGCAGGAAGACAGAACAGCATTTATGGTGAATCTTGGAATAGTTTATTTTTCATATCCCCCCCCGCCCCGAACTTAGACCTTACCTAGGACAGTCTTTCAATTTCGTCAGCCCTGATTCCCATTGTTGTGCTGGCCCCCACCCAGCTACAGGGTGCGCTTTTCAAGGGGGCTGAGGCAAGAGGATAATGAGCCCCTGGCATGGCTGTACCGCTGTGGTGTGATGAATGGCCCGCAACCCTCGAGACGCTCCGTGCCCTTCATCATCCAGTCGGAGTGGTTAGCAGGCTGTCAGAGAGAAATAATTTAGCAGCCCTGGCTTTAACGGATGTGCTGCATTCTGGGGTCAAATGACTATTACAAAGTAGTAGCGCTGCCTGGCTTCTCCGTCGTGGGAGCTCAGAGTTGACAACATGAAAGAAGAAGGCATCACAGCCAGAACTCACTGATGTCCTTCAGTTTCACACAGTAGGAAGCAGAAGTGGGGGGGGGGCTTCCTAGTAAACAGGTAATCCTAGGCTGTCTGTGGGCCTTGGGGGTAGCTCCAGACTTTCTGCAAAGTGGCATCAGGTTGGGGTGGAGTAAAACAGCAACAGGGGCATGCCCACAATCACTAATTCGGCTGTCTCAAACATGGTGGCAAGAGAAATGAGCTGATCAAGGTCGTGCCAAAGGTCATGGACATTCTCAGAAGGGGCTCATTCTTCTGCCCAGCCTGAGTCCAGGCAGTAGGGAGGATAATGCTTCCATGGATGTTCTGCAAGTTTGATTCCAGGTAGCAAAAAAGTAGAATGGGAAGAAGTCAGGACAGAAAAAAAAAAAAAAAAAAAAAAAAAAAAAGAGGCATAGAAAAGAGCAGGAGCGAGGTCATAGAGTTTCTTGCTAGTAAATGCACCAGGATTGATTTAGAAATTGATCTTGCTTTTTTCTCTAGTACTTTGCTTTCAATGGGGCTATGCATTTATTTGAGCTCAAGCTGAAAGGCAAGACTGATGACGTTTATGGTTTACCCCCTCCCACCTGTTCCTTAAAGGGATTATGGCATGTGCAATAAATGTGGGAGGTTAAATGAAAGAATAAGAGGTAGCCAGAGCAGGGAAATCTACCATCCCTCAGTGAGGCCTTAGTGTGTCTTTTCCCTCCACTCTGGATTTGTGAAAAAACAGGACATCTTAGGGCCAGGAAGAGGGCCCAGTCTATAAACTGCATGTCCTGCAAGCATGAGGACCCACGTTTGGATCATCACCTTCCACATTAAAATCCTGCGTTTTTCTGCACGGTAGCCTGTTCTTGTAATCCAAGCACTCATGGGGTAGAGATGGAAGGATCAGTGGGGCATGTTGGTCGGCTAGTGTTGCCGAATTGCTGAGCAACAGAGTCTATACCAAAAAAAAAAAAAACAATTAAAATAAAATAAAATAATAATAAGGCAGAGGGGCTGGAGAGATGGCTCAGCAGTTAAGAGTGCATGTTTCTATTGCAGAGAGCTCCATTCGTTCCCAGCACCCTCATCAGTTGCCTCACAACTGCCTATAACTCCAGGCCCAGGGGGTCTGATTCCCTCTTTGGGACTCGAGACCACTGAAGTCATGCGCATACCCTCTACATAGACCCATAATTAAAAATAAGCATAGGTAAAAATAAGGTGGAAAACGATAGAGAGAACATCCCTCATTGATCTCTGACTGTCTCTACATGGATGCATACACACGTGTGTGAACACCCACACATATACACACCCAAACACATACACTTGCATGTGTTGCAAACACACACACACACACACACACACACACACACACACACACCCTCACTCACACACACGTGCGCATACACAAAGATCATCTGCTGGGGTGTTTATCTCATGCCTGTTTATAGTCAAATATATGTGGAAAGAATTCATGAATGAATGAATGAATAAGTAAACAAATGAGCTACCTAGTCATTATTCAAGGTGAAGGATCCCGTTATGTTCTTCACACATATTACTGAGCAGTATCTGGGTTTTGATGACACCCCAAATTCTTTTACAAATTCTTTGTCTCCAAAGGCAAAATAAGGGATTCTATTCCAGGTGTTGTGATGTCATGATTGTGGTGATCACAGCAATAACTCGTAGTTATTAAGTACTTATGATGAATCCCACACGGGGCTAAGTGCCTTTTAACTATGTAAAGTGTTTCTTTTCTTGATTGATGCCCAAAATGAATAAAAATAATTTTCTGTATTGACTACATTAGAGAGACCTACAAATAAATTTTAGAATGATAAGAGAAAAGATAATTTGCATAAGCAAGCAATTATAAAACTTGGCAGAATAAGGTTGTTTTAAGTGGTGTGAGAACAGTTCTTGACACAGGCAGTGCTACAAAGGCACCTTGAACAAGTGAAGGTAAACTCCTGTAAGAAAATAGACCCACCTCTGAAAATCTCTGCCCTGCAGACTATCAATGTAGATACTGAGACTTATGGGCAACCTTTGGGCAGAGTGCAGGGAATCTTAGGAAAGAAGTGGGAAATAGTAAGAGCTGGAGAGGACAGGAACTCCATAAGGAGAGCAACAGAACAAAAAAAAACCCAAAAAACTGAGCACAGGGGTCTTTCCTGAGACTGCTATTCCAACCAAGGACTATGCATGGAGATAACCTAAGACCCCTGCACAGATGTAGCCCATGGCAGTTCAGTATCCAAGTGGGTTCCATTGTAATAGGAACAGGGACTGTCTCTGACATGAACTGATTGGCCTGCTCTTTAATTTCCTCCCCCTGAGGGGGAAGCAGCATTACCAGGCCACAGAAGAAGACAATGCAGCCACTCCTGATGAGACCTAATTGACTAGGATCAAAAGGAAGGAAAATAAGTCCTCCCCTATCAGTGGACTTGGGGAGGGGCATGCAGGCAGAGGGTGGAGGAAGGGAGGGATTGGGAGGGGAGGAGGGAGGGAACCATAGGGGGAGGATACAAAGTGAGTAAAGTGTAATTAATGAAGCAAAATAAAAAAAGAAAATAGACCCACAGGGCTAGAGGTACAGTTCAGGGGGACCACTTGTCTGTCATGCAAGTGGCTCTGGGTTTGAACCCCAGTATCACCAGGAAAGATAAAAAAAATTTAAGAAGACTCACCACTGTGTTGCCAAAACCAGGAGAGGTCCTTCCTTCCTTCCTTCCTTCCTTCCTTCCTTCCTTCCTTCCTTCCTTCCTTCCTTCCTTCCTTCCTTCCTTCCTTC